AAATGGAGGAACTGGACCACTTTGGTGTGTGCCAGGTTGTGTCTGAGAAGGAGGCGTTTCGCCTTGTGCGGGAAGCTAAGAGGAGAGTGCTTTCCACCAGGTGGGTGTTGCACTACAAGGACGGGCACAAGCGTGTGCGCTGCCGTTTGGTTGTGCGTGACTTTAAAGGGCCCACCTCTGCTTTAGCTGATGGCATCTATTCTCCTACTACTACCTTAGAGTCTGTGAGGTGTCTGTTGGGGATGTATGCGCATTTCGGAGGGAAGGTGATTTCGGGAGATATTTCTGTGGCCTTCATGCAGGCTAAGCTGTTTTCTACTGAGGTGGTGAAGCTGCCGGAGAACTGTAGGACAGTGTCAGGTGAACGTGTGCATTGTCTGCTGAAGCGTGCCATGAATGGTTTGCGGATTGGGCCTTTGGCTTGGTTTCGTGAGCTAGGAGAAACACTGAGAAAACTTGGTTTCTTTGTTACCGCTGACAGCACTGTGTATCGCAAGGTGATCAAGGAGAAAGGCAAGGATGCCATTGTGTTGGTGTTGGCCTATGTAGATGACATCTTGGTTTTCAGCACGGTTGCGAGTGTAGCTGAGAAAGTGTTTGAGGAACTGAGTAAAGTGTTCAAGATGAAGCGCACGGGAACGCTTCAACCGGGAGAGAAATCGGTGATCTCCTTCCTTGGGAGAAACATTTATCAGAGGAAGACCGGAGACTTGTACTTCGGACTCAAACCCGGGATGCTCCATAGCTGTGCGGAAGAGTATCAAATCACGAAGGGAGCGAAACTCCCCAAGCTTGAGCGTTTGTGGACCAGTCTGGAATCCACCCCGATCACGCATGAGGCCTATCAGCGCTACCGGCGCGTGTTGGGCAAACTGTCGTGGCTAGCTTTGACAAGAGCTGATTTGCAGTTTGTTGTAGGTTTTCTGGCCCGGAGCCAGAGCAACCCAGACTCCAGGAGTGAAGCGTGTATTCGAGCTGTGCTGCGTTGGATTCTCACGCTTGGGAATCGGGTTCAGCGGATCCCGGCACAGTGGGTGAACTATCGCCCTTCGGAAAGTACGCGTGTGATCGATTGTTTCTGTGATGCTAGCTGGAATTTGCCCTCTGTGAGTGGGGCGATTATCTGCTGGCAGTGCAACCTGCTGAAGAGTTTTAGCCGTAAACAGACGGTTGTGGCCCTGAGCAGTGCCGAGGCTGAATTGAGTGCTTTGGTAGAGACTGTGAAAGAGGCTTTGTTTGCAGGGTTGCTTCAACAGTCGTTTTTGGAGGGATTGCCTGAGGATGATACCGGAAGCTTTTGGATCCGGATTTGTACCGATTCTGAGTCGGCAAAGGCGATTGCTTCAATGGAGGGACTCTTGAGAAGGGTTCGTCACCTGGAGTTGCGGTGTGCTTTCCTGCAGCAGATGGTTCAGTCGGGGAGAGTGATCCTCGAGTTTGTGGCCGGAGCATATAATGCCTCCGACGGCCTGACCAAGAGTATGGTCTTTCAGGAGCAGCTGGACAACCTCTACGAGGTAACCGGTTTGGTTTCTTTTGAAGACGAGTTGGGTGAGTTTGAGCTGGAACGCCTGACTGCAGAAGAGCCGGTAAACCGTTCTTTTGTTCCTGAGGAGTACGTTTCACTGTGTGAAGCTGTGGCGAAGAACCAGGTCACCTTTGTGGTCGTTGAACTGTTCTGCCAGGAAGAAAGTGCCTTACAGAAGGCATGTGAGAAGCTTGAGATTGCCTATGTGGGCGTCACTGAAAAGCTTGACTTTTGTTCTGAGCAGACGCAGTGTTTTCTGAAGGAGTTGTTTTCTGTGTTGAGTTGTGGCTTGAAGACGAAGATCTACTGCCATATCTCCACTCCCTGTACCACTGGGTGTCGTTTGCGTTACCGCGGGTGGCGCAAGTACAGTCAAGAGAAGTGGGAAGAGAAGAAGAAGTTGCATCAGCGTGCTTGGGAACTTCTTGAAGGTTTGTTGAAACCGGTTGCTCGGAGTGAACGCTTGTTGTTGACTCAAGAGTGGCCTCTGCAGAACGACCTCTGGAAGGACCCGCGGTATCTTCAGGTTGCTTCAGAATTGGGGCTTTCTGAGGGTATTGTGGTAGACCGCTGTGCGTACGACTGTGTGTTTAAACGGTGGTACTTTGCCACGAACAGTAAACGCTGGGTCAAAGTGTTTCCTAAAAGGGAATGTGACCAAGTGCATGAACATGTACAGGTGGAATTAAAAGATTCAGGGTTCTATCCTGAAAAGCTAGGTCTAGAGCTTGTAAAGTGTGCTCAAAAGACACTAGGTGCCGCATCAGTCCAAGAGGGGGTGTGAAAATCCCATTTGGCTCAAGGTCTGGCTCGAGTGACCGCAGTGGTCGGAGAAGTAGTTGTCTGCAAACAGTCCTGGGCTCTAACTGTGTGCTGAAGAGACCCCAAACAGGTGAATCCCAGGCTTTGTAGCTGTGCTTCTTCGGGCCATCACTCCCACTTGCCTGTTCCCACCGGTAAGGGTTCAGCCCTCGGGGGACCAATCCACCTCACGAAGGGGATACGTCCACCCAAGGGACTTGCCAGCTCCCACCGGAAAGGGCTCGGCCCTCGGGGGAACTGTCCACCGCGCCAAGGGGGTACGTCCCCCTGTGGTGGGTGGTAGAGCAACGCCAGACGCGGACCCACCCTACGAGGGGGGACATTGTGGCTCAAGTTTGGGGTGCTCGCCCTTCTGTCTTCACGGTCAAAAGCCACGGCTTTTGGAGGGTTTTCCTTGGTGCAGGGACACTAAGCACCCAGGGCCGGGCCAAGCTGGTGAGCAGTCTGGAGCGGGTGGCAGTCTCTACGCTGCGAGCTCACCCCAGGCAAACTTGAGCAAGCACCCAGTCGGTGCCCCTGGACTTACTGCATGAGACCAGAGTCAGCTGTGTTAGTCGTTTGCTTTCACTACGTGCGGCCATGCATGCAGTGCACTCCTGGGACCATGCCTACCTGGGCAGGAGAACAGATGGAGGCAGGTCTTTACCGACAAGCAACGAGAAGGTTAGGATTGCCTACATGTGTGGTGTGGGTAAGTGACGGCAAGCGTGAGGACCACCAAGGTGGTGGAGGCTCCTCCAGGTGGTTTCCCTTGGCGGCTTTGGTAGGGTTTAGGGTTGGTTTTAGGGCGGCGGTGGGCCTTGTAGTGAGCCGCCAATACAGGAGCTTGCATTCTGGACATGCAGGAAGATCATCTCACCAGCCTCGAGGTGATCTTCCTTTTTAGCTCCCTTAGCCTCGGTCATCCGCTTGAGGGCCTCGCAGTACGCCTTCAAGCTTGGTTGGGCCGAACCTGTCTCGGGCAGGTGTCACATTTGCAGGAGTTACTGCGGGCTCTTGCGTCCCTGTGCTTGGCGTCGAGCTGAGCCAAGTAATTGGGATTTTCCTTAGTCCACTCCTTTTCAGGGTGGCATGGCAAGTGCGGCTAAGCGCTTGCTTCTTTATTGGCAGCAGGTTCCCAGGCCTGTCCAGACCGTGGGTCCTGCCTGAGCTGCAGCCCGAGCAAGGGTGATGGGTCAGCTGGTGCGGCGTCGTCCCCGCGCTTGTTGAGGGGAGCGTCGACTCCTGCGCGTTTGTGCATAGTAAGGGGTGCGTTTGCCCTCGCGCTCATTGAGAGGGTTTAGTGCCGGCTGACTTTTTCGCTTTGGTTTTGGTTTCAGCTGCCGAGGGTGGACGGTTGGCTAAGGCCGCCTTGTGAGCGTGAACAGGCCCGCGCCGGGGGCCAGTACCCAACCGCAGTGCAGAAGGCAGTGCGCGCTCACTGTCTCTGCATAGACCCTCTCAGTTTTGGCCTGGCCGTGTTTGGGCCTCGCCTTCCAGTGCAAACACCGCATGCACAGCTCTGTCAGTTTGGCGCGGATCGTGCAGAGCCTCGCGGCGGATCCCTCCGAGTTGAGGTTTCTCTCGGCAGACAGGGGGCCTGTGGTCACTCTGCTGCTCGAGCCTTTTAGCCAAGGCAGTTTGCTTCCACTGCCCGGTACTGGGGTGGAGTTTGGTTGGCAGAGGTAGTCGAGTACCCAGAGCTGCTGCGGCATGGGTGCTCTGGCCCTTGTTAGTAAGAGCGAGAACGCAAGGGCCACCTCAGCTTGCCGCCTTACGTCCAGCCCGAGCACGTGAGTTATGGTCTCTGCTCCAAGTCTTGGGGGGTTCTCCTCCCTACCGAGCAGAGAGGCAGGGCCAGCTCACTAAAAGCTCTCCAACAGCTAGGGGGTCTGTCCCACCTTGGAGAAAGCGGCCCGTGCTGGTCTTGGTTCTCCTGGGAGGGCAGGCTTCCTAGACCCTCTCCGGGTTTCGGGAGGGAAAGGGCCTACAGGTTGAGTGAGCTGCTTCTTCAACCTCACCGGCGCAGACCGGGAGGTAGGACCTAGAGCTTAGGACCTGAAGTAGTCTCCTCCGCGAACCTCACCAGCGGGGACTGGGAGGTCGGGGGTCCTAGGTAGGACCTAGCCTGAGGGCTCCTTAACACAAGGAAGCTCCTTTTGCTGTAAGACACAGCCCGTAGCAGACGGAACTTGCCGTTTCGGCGGCCGCGCCTCAGTGCCCACGACTGAGAAAATCCCATTTGGCTCAAGCTGTGGCGGTTCAAACTGGCGAGTGGACGCTTGTTGCCGACGTGGCACCCAGGTTTGAGTCCGTATCTAGACTGTGGGTCTCGACAGGTCTCAAACATCAACCACACGTTTGCTCGTAGGCTGCCTGTGCAGCGCGGGACGCGTGGGGCGGGGTAGCGGCAGTTCCAGGTTTTACCTGAAGTGCGTAGCTGAGCCATTTGCACCGAACCACTGCTTGAAACAGCTTGCAAACTCTTCTTGCACCTTGTGAACCAATCCTTGTTTTTGTGCAGAAATTTGGATTTTGGGCCTTGCAAAATTGCCCGTTTACTTGTTGCAAAAGTACAGCTGAGGAGTTTTTCTTGCAAGCAAGATAAAGAAGGAGGCACCATGGCAGGAGGCAAGACGCGTCGGTCCTACTCTGTGTGCTCTTGCGGGGCATGGATCTGGACAGACAGAATAGGGGCCCAGCGCCCTTGCTGTCAGCAGTGCGGCAAGGTTTGGCCTAAAAGCCTCTGGACTAAGCCTGCCAGAAGGGCACCGGAGGAAGACACAGACGTGCAGCGTACGTGGCGCCCTGGAGGGCTGGCAACGCGCCAGAAGCAGAGGGGCCAGAGGGGAGTAAATCAGGACGGTACTGTGCACCGTGCACTGCAGTCATTGTGGGAGAAGCTTGCTCCCGAAGTGCAGAAGGAGTTGGCAAGCGCAGGGGTAAAGCCCCCGGAACCTCCCAAGGAAGATGATTTGCTCGCCTTGCTGCGCTCTCACGAGGCTGCCCTCCCACAGGAGGTTAAGGACAAATTGCATGAAGCAGAGCCCAAAGAGACTCCCCAGGAGGCAGCTGTGTGTGCATCCAGGGAGTATAAGACGAGCACGCTGCGGTTGCGTGATCTGGGGCATAAGAAAGTGCAGCTTCAGTCTTGCATTGATGACACGAAGATGAAGCTACGCAAGCAATTGGAGTCCATGAAAGAGTTGCTTTCCCAGATTTCTGAAGCCCAGGCTGAAGTTGCCAAGGTCTCGGAGCAGTTTAAGCAGGCTGTTTTGACGGATCCATCTGAGGAAGCAACCGCTGAGGATACCACTCTGTTGCAGCTGATTGCTGATGCTGGCATCAATTTGACCCAAGAGCAGATTGATAAGCTGAAGTCTGTAGAGGAAGGTCATGCCATTAAGAAGCGCAAACACGATGCAAAGAGTCCTGACGGGCTCGCGTCAGCTCCGCCCGGCTTGGGGCAGGTGGCTTCACAAGTCCCGGCAGGCGGTCAGCAGCAGATGCAGGCGTAGGGTTTAGGGATTGGGGTTAGGGATTTGTCTTGTGATCTTGATGCTTTGCTGCCTAGCGGTCATAGCCGTTTGCATCTTGTTGGTGCCAGTGCAGTGCCAAGCTATGATCATGCGCGAGTCTCGGCCCTGCAATCCCAACCTAGGCCCACACATTCTGTTACCTGTCGTTTTCAATCGGACACATCCGTTGGGCGTTGGCCTCAGCTCTGCCCAGTGTTGCCGCGTATCTTAGCCGATACTTGTACCATGTGTGCAGCGCCAGTGCAGAGTGAGTCGCCTTTTGCAATCAGTTTTCACGCGGATGGGAGTTCTAGTAGTGTGTGCCACTGGTGCCGCCAGGGAGCCTACCTTCGACGCAAGTGTCGTGGCTGGACTGCGTCAGCGAGAAGCTGTGGCGGTCCAAGCTCGGGTGCAAATTTCTGTGTGAAAGGTCGGTTGGCTAGGCATTTGAGTGGTGCTTTTTCAATTTTAAGAGGGATGCTGCAGCCGGCGTGTCATGAGTGGTGTTGTGCCTGTTGCCAAGTGCCCTTACAACTGCACACTGCATGGGTGGAGCCTTGCATGCTGCCATTGAGTGATCAGTGCCAGCTTGGTTCTTTGCAGTGCCCTCGCACCAGACAGGCCATTTTGCTGGACGTGGATGTGCTGTCAGGTGAACCTGTGCACATTGTTTTTCCTATCGTCACTCCAGCCACCAGTTCTCATTGCAAGTTGAGTTGCGGGACTACATGGGCAGAGGCCTTATCTTGGCAAGGGGATGAAGCATGTGAAGTCAATGTTGATTTTACATTTCCAGGCCCTAACCTGTGTGCTTTCCCTTGCTTTGAGGGCCCGAACCCCAATTTCCGTGCATCCGGGGAGGGGGAGCTGCTTCATCTTCATGAACCAGGCTGTGAGGCCCACCGGCAACCCGCTGCACACCCTCCCCGGACCCTCGAGGATTTCAGAAACAGCATTGGTGAGCTCGATCAGGACTGCGGCTCTTTTCATGCTGCATGCTTGTGTGATGGATGTGGGTGTGAACCTGTTCTTGCAGCATCCGGCAAGGCAAGGGCCCAGCACTTCATTCAGATATGTGCTCAACTTCATAATGACAGGCCCTGTGCACAGCTAGAGGTGGTACTTCGGGATTGCCACCAATACTGTGCTACCTGCTTGTGCCGTTGGGCGAAGCGTAGCTACCGCGCCCCAGTGCAACCTAGAAAGGCCTTCGGGGCGGTTTCAGGGCCTAAATTCTTTCCTTGCGATTTGGGTGATGACTTTCCGGTCTGTTCCGACGCAGTCGTCAATGGCTGCCAGAGTTCGAAGCCGGGCCGGGAATTTTCATTTCAACACCCCAACCCGTGTGCCGCCCTGAGGGACCCTAACCCCATTCTCGGTGGCACTATATCCAGCTTTTGGCCTCACTTTCGTTCTAGGCGAGCGCGCAGGAGGTTCAATCGTGCCAAGCGCCGCGAGGGCCCTGCTGAGTCTCAAGCTGGGTTATCCGTGGAGGTTGAGAGCCGGCCGATTCCACGGTCCCGGCGGGGCCGTCGGCGATACAATCGCCAGCTCCGCATTGCATTCCTTGAAGCATCCGGTTTTCTTGAATCAAGTGAGCCCTTGCTTTTTGCGCCGTCCGCAGACCCATCTTTAGGAGAAAATGCATTTTCGCATAAAGAAGGGTCTGCAGGAGTTTCAGCAGTTCCAGCAGTTGCCAGTGAAGGGGAAATTTCGGGTTTAGCCGCTCCGGATGATGTGTCTGTCAAACATATTGCTTCACTTGCGCGGCGGCAGAACGAGGGGCAGAATGAGGTATTACCAATTCCTAACCCCAACCCGTGTCAACAGGTCGGGCGAGACGCTGAGGAAGCCCTGGCCTACCCTAACCCCAATTTGATTTCACAACAGTCTGAGGCTTTAGAGGCTCTGAAGGCTGATGTGCTTGCTGGAGCTTCAGGCCCTTTGCTCTCAAAGGTTGAAAGCATGGAAAGCCAGGGCATCATCAGTGAGGGTACTTTCTTGTGGAAGGCTGTTGAGCTTGCTGTTGAGACTCAGGAGGATGTTCCCAAGCATGTTGCATGTTGGGCCTTGGACGATGCCTTAGCCAATCTCTCATGCAAATCCCAGAGGCCCGAACTCAGGATACTTTGCGCGAATGTGACATCATGGCGCAAAGCCCTGTGCCCATGGATTGCACAACACCAACCGTCTCTGTGCCTTCTCCAGGAAACTCACTTGAGTCCAGATTTGCCTGATTTGCTTGATTCACAGCTGGGCCCGTTTGGGTACGCTGCGTTCAGTTTGCCGGGCCGTCGTACTGCTAAGGGCGGCGTCAGTGGCGGCCTGTCCATTTGCTTCCGCAAGCACCTCAATCTCAGGAAGGTCCATCATTTTCTCCATGATGGAGTGGGGTTTCAGGCTGCCGCGCTCAGGCTCAGGGACACGGACTTATACATTATCAACATTTACTTGAAGTCGGGTGAGGGTTTCCAGAGCCAGACGAATTCTTTGGTTCTTTCTAAATTGGTCCCTTTTCTTCGCTCGATCAAGGGCGTTTATTTTGTTTCGGGGGACTGGAATGAGGATTTCGAAACCGTTGCCTCGACCAGCTTGGGCCGGGAAGCTAAGGGCAGGTTTGTTGATGCAGGGGATTCCACTTGTACCGGCGGTGGTAATATTGATTACGGGCTTATGTCCTCTTCTATTGCAACTGCAGCTAGCCTTTCCCTGGATTGGTGCACACCCTTTGCACCGCATGCGGCCCTCCATTGGACATTGGGCATGCATCAACTTGACTTCAAGGTGCCTCAGCTTGTGCCTTTTCGGCCATCGCCTGTGCAATCCCAGCCCTTCAACTTGAGTAGGCCCATTGATGAGGCAGGAGAGGCTGAGGCGGAGGCTTCATCTTCCCAGCATTCCAGGATGCTGGGCTTGGGCAGCCTTCACAAAGGCCTCACTGAGTTGTTTGCCAGTCTGAGTGAGGACGTTGAGCTTTCTGTGTATGGGGCTTGCCAAGGCAGGGGAGCCCAAGTCAGTGTGCAAAGGCGGCCATTAATTCCCACTTGTGCTCCATGTTCTGGATGGGGCGGCTCGCAGGTTTCCTTTTGGCACCGAATGATTGTTTGGTTTGATGCTTGCCTTCGGAAGTTTCATGTTAGCAGCTTTGCAAAAACAGCTGCAAAGAATCTACGGTTGATGTGGCATGGAGACCTTGAATCATGTGAGAAGTTTGCCCAGGACTTGCAGGCTCTCATTGACCGTTCCTTTGTTGACCGAGTCCCGCAACTGCTTGAGAGTGCTAAGGCTCAGCATCATTTTCATTCCAGTGCATGGCAGGTTTCCAAGAGTGCTTCCTACCTGCAGTGGCTGAGGCGATCCACTGTGAAAGGTATGCGACCTCTATTCTTGAGCATCAAAGCTGAGGAAGCTGTCACCATCAGGCCGTTTTTAGATGCCCCGGTTCAGGAGCGCATATATCTCAGGTGGAGACAATGGCACGAACTTTGGTTCTACCCACCGGGCGTGAACCCTGAACTACGTGCTGAGCTACGGACCAAAGCAATAGAACAGGCTGCACATCTTCCACCGATTTCGCTTGATAAGGCCATTAAGTATTTCAGGAAGGTTCCGACAAAAGCTCCAGGTCTGGATGGATGGACATGTGAGGTCCTTCGTAACCTTGATGCCGAAGCCGTGAAAGCCATTATTCAATTTTACCACCACTGCGAGCGTCAGGCGTCTTGGCCTGACCAATTGGTCTACGCATTGATTGCGCTTTTACCAAAAAATGAGAAGCGTGAAAGGCCGATTGCTCTTCTCCATGTGCTGTACCGGGCATGGGTCAGATTGCGATGGCACTTAGTTGATGAATGGCAGCGCGCATACACCCACAAAGCAAGTTGGGATCAAGCGGTTCCAGGTGGGCATGTTCTTGATGTTGCACTTTCTAGATTAATGCTAGGAGAGTCGGTTCGCCGCGACAAGCTGCACCTTATTTCCTTATTCGTTGATATGGAGACTTTCTACGACAGGTGTCTCTTTGATGACATCATTAGTTCCGGAATCCGGCTGTCGTATCCGCCCATCATTTTACATCAAGCACTTCTGACTTACCTAGGTCCCCGTGTCGTGCAGTCTGAAGGTGCCTTATGCCCGCCTATATGGCCGGGGCGAGGTGTGCTTGCTGGTTGTCCGGCAGCACCATCGATTACCAAACTCGTTATTCATCCAATCGCTGCTAAACTTGTGATGAAGCGTAGCGTTTGTAACTTAGATGTATGGGTCGATGACCTTTCCCTTGACACAATTAACAAATCCGCTTCAAAGGTCGCCAGTGACAGTCTTGTACTGTTTCGGGGGTTGAGGCAAGATCTTGTCGCAAAAGGGGCCCAGGTTTCTGTAACAAAAACTTCTTTTGTAGCATCGTCGGCGGAGGCGGCCAAAGCCTTGAATCGGTTGCTATCGGACGACGATCCCAAGGTCAAAACAATCGCCCGGGACTTAGGGGTCTCTTCTGCTGGCGCTCGCCGTAGATTGCTTGGTCTGGCTGAGCAAAGGCGTCACAAGGCAATGCGGCGTGCAGGCAAGCTCAGCAAGCTTGGTGTTAAGTGTGTATCCCACAGAGTTCGCATCGTCCGAGCGTCAATTTGCTCTGCCGGTTTATGGGGACATCAGGCGGCTGGTGTTAGTCCCAAACGGCGCAAATGGTATCGAACCCTTTGTTCAAAACAAATCGGTCGTCAAAAGTTGGGTTCCATTGACATCACTTTCTTGCTGCATTGCCATAGATGTGAAGACCCTCACCTTACCTTGTTACGGCAGCACGTGAGGGCAGTGGCCAGAGTCTTTCGCAGATGGCAGAGTGTGGATCCAGCCAAGTTTTCCAGTACGTGGTCCAGTATCTGGCTTTGGCTTTCGGCCTCACCGCATCCTTGGAAAAAGGTCAATGGGCCCATTGCGGCCCTTCAGGCCTATTTGATGGAACTTGGTGTCCAATGCCAACAGGGTTCCACTTGGAC